AGTGACGTCTGGATATCATGACACCTAGACCCAGGCAGATAAATAAATAGATAAATAACACTTTCGCTTTTAGCAACAAAGCTTCTACTGCTTGATTTCTGTCCAAGCAAGCCTAGCACTTCTGTGACAAAGACGAGAAAGTACACGTTGCCTTGTCCAATCTTGAGTTTATCTGATGGCCCACAACCGCGCGGTGAAGCTGCAGGGGAAAGCCCGTTACGTACAAAGATTTTCTAATACGGGAGATTGCGTGGGGTGCCCTGACTTGTGAGGGAAAGGGCTGAGGTGAGTCAGAGCTACAAGAGACCAGTTCAACCAGCCTGCAGAAGTACTTAAGAGCAGAGAGACCACCAAGAAAGAAAACTATCCCACCAGAAAACACGTTATTTGCAATAACATGGATAGTATGTTTATATACATATCTATCTTAGTATACTGCATGTCATTTAATATGGAAGCCGTGTAGAACTGAGCAGTAGATGTAAGATTCATCGATAACATTTTACTGCTGAGATGATGTGAACACTGAGACACAAAGGCCTGCCTGTTCTCACGAAATCACACAAAAAATAGTGTGCAATATCTCTTCCTGAAAATGGATTAATAATTTATTTTTTAAAAATGTAAATTCTATTTTGCATTCATCAGCTGACTGCTATACATCCACATTGCATGAAAACAATACCACTAAATATTTACCATAAATGAGACAAGCCTAGTTGGATGGTGCTAACAATCAGTGGACACGGTGCCACAGGTACAGGGGGTACACGGGCGCTGTGAGCCAGCACAGCAGCTCCTGGAGAGGGGAACCAGGAGCCAAAACTGGGCTGGAATTTCAAACCCTCACAGACCGAAGCCAGAGTTAAAGAATAAATATTATCCTATATAAAATCACTCCACCACTAGCCGCAGAGAATTGTCTCTCCTGAGTCACTACAAGGTGCACTTGGATCACTGTGTGTGGTTTTACTTTATCCCTATGGCCTCAAGTGATGCCCTTTGGCCAGGCTGGGCACTTCAAGAAGGATTTGAACCAACTGAAAAGAGCCCAGTAATGAGGACAGGTATAGAAATTGTGACTTGAGATAAAAAGAGATTAAAATAATTGCTGAGGACAATTGCCTTCTGTCTTCAGAGGGAAAAAAGGGTGGACGTGATAGGAGTCTCCAAATACACAGTGAGTTGCTGAAAAGAGGAAGCAGACAACATGCGATGTCCATGCTGACAGCAGACGGGGTAAGTAGTAAAGGTGTTCAGTAACAGCCTGAAAGGCTAGTCCAAGTCAGGAAAAGAAATCACCTGGGAGTCAGGAAATTTATGGAAATCTCAGACAGGAATGATCAAGCGGAAATGACTGGACTGCGCACAGGCAATGCATCGCCTCCCCAGCCATGTACGCCGTGGAGACAGGACGTGTGGTTGGAGGAACAGCCCTAGTGAACTTCTCAGGCAACAGTCCTGAGGTTGTTCTACCGTACACCGAGGACTGAGCTGGTGACATGAGGCTCCAATGGGGACGGAATGGCAAGGTAGTTAAAGCTGCTCCCACTTCCTATCCTGAGCTGCAGCAAGAGGGGAGCTGTGGCATCTAGGATTTCTAGTAACCATTCCAGTGACACCATGGACATCCGTGGCATGGGATTTGATTTGGTCTTACTCTGTTCCTCCAGGACAGAAACAGCGCCGAGCAGAGAGCTTTGGCAAACTAGCATTTAATAAAATTATATATTAAAAAAAAAATTACTCTGTTCTTCAGGCAATAAAACAATTTGAGCAGAGGAAGCCCTTGCCCGTGGTGGCAAAGCGTTCAATGGCCCTCAGTGCTCGGGAACCGATCCAAATAGAGCTCTTCCTTCTGCACAGCACTCCTGCCTTCTCTTGGGAAGTGCTTTTTTGTTAAACACTTAGCTGACGATGCACAAAAGCAAAACTAATAGATTGTGAGAAATAAACAAGATGCATTTCATAGCTTCAGTATAGTATTATCCTTTACAGTCTGTATTTGTAATGGCAACATTTACTTGGTTGTAAAGCCTTTTCTTTTACATCAACATTCATCTCCCACTAACCGTGCTGGTGAAGTGCAGCACAACTTCTCCTCAAAAGGGAGATTTCAAAAGAAATTTTCCAGCCTCCGATTCAAACGAGACACACTCTTCTCATCCACAGATGACGACTAACCCCGCTGCTAACTTTCACGAGCCCCGTCTCGTCAGCGAGAAGAACAACGCTGCGATTGCGCTGCCACAACCGCACCCAGCGATTCAAACTGCACTGGGGCGCTCCGCCTCCCGCAGTCTCAGTGGTACCCTTCTTTTCAAGCAAGATGCTGTCTCTGGCCATGCTTTCTGATTCAGATGCGAGGACAGGTACCCTTATTCGCCAGTTAATTACAGGCGTGTTTTATTACAGGTTTATTTGCACCGGAGAGTGACAGCTAGAGCTTCTTTTCTGTTCTATTTGCCTGCTTCTGGTCAACTTACAGGTTTGTTTGTAAGAGCAAAGCTGTACAGGATTTTAAACTGGTCACAGCAGCCCGAAATGTCCCAGTTTTCCAATCCAGACTGTCAGCTCTCCTTCCTTGCCAGACACGTGAACTCACCCGAGTTGCAGCCAAAATCTACTCTTTCCTTGCCAGACCTGCCCTGCTCCTCAGAAGGTTGGAATCGACTCTGTTATGAGAACAAGTTGCAGCTCTTCCTTCTGGACACTCAGTTCAGGGCTTCCATGGACATCTGCTTCTCCCCCTGCATCACCCTCCTCCTGCGAGAGGTCACCCCCGCTCAGCACCACCGTACATAGCACCAGCAGCAAGCGCTTGGTAATCAGAATGCAACGTCCAGACACAGCGCCTGCAGCTTCCACAGAGGATGGGGTTGAGTTTTTAGCTTCAATTCGCCTCCTCGTGGACTTACCTGCACCATTAGCTCCATTCTAGGGAGGAAAGGAAGGTTATGCTGCCACTGAAAGGAGCCGCAGCCCATGAACAGGGATGGAAGAAACGTGGCAGTCCCGTGCGTGCCATCTGCCCCAAGAACCCAACAGGGGCAAGCAGGACGATGCAGAACTTCACTTCTCATGCGAGTGCTGCAAGACAGTCAGAGGCTGGAAAAGCTATAGGTCTGCAAGGTTACCTTGGAGTTCAGAAGATGACGGGGTGAATTAGTCCTAACTAATGGTTCTTAACTCTGCATGCTCCGGGGCTTCACATGAAAGCAAGGGAGCACATAAAAACGCAAAGTGCGGGATCAGATTCAACGCTCTGATAAGCCTGTTTGGTTCACGAGCAGTTAAAAACATAAACCTAAGAAAAAACCCCTGTGAATGCGAGTTAAAATGATGAAAGGAATGGAATGGAGGAAGAGAAGGGAGGCTGGTCTGGTTTTATATCTAAGATGGACCAAGCGCTTTAATTATTCAGGGAAGGCGGTTTCGTGATTTTTGCACGAGTCTTTGAATAGAAAATCCTTTCTGTCCTTTAAAAAACTGAAAATTACCTGACATCAGTTTCCATAACCTTTGAAAAACTTTCTTTTTATTGGAGTCATTCATGGGAAGCTGCTGCATGGAAAGGTTAGACTGTTGGAGCCATGCCTGCGCAATGAGCCCAGCAACCACAGGTACGGAGAAACCAAGCGCTTGCCGTTGCATGGGGGCTCTACTCTCATGGGTTGGGGTCCCTCCTGGCTGCATCGACAGCCCTGTACCCGTACGCGCGGTAAGCTGGTAATTCACCAAAGCAGCAGTTTTCGAGCAGGTTCCGGACCTCAGTTAATTGCAACTGCTTAGAGCAACAGCCAGGGCAACCCGAGGGAGCACGTTCCAGCAGCAGCACGCTGCTGCAGCACAGCCCATCTCCCTCAGACATTCACATTGCAAACTTGCGGGAAATCGCTGGGCTCTCTGCATAAACACTGAGCAGAAAAGGAAGGAACAGCAAAAATATTTAATTTTCCTCTCCAGCATGTTATGCAGCATTTCCAAGATACTGAAGTTAATTCTTTACCAAATGCAGTCAATTTGACTCCCATGCTTTAGCTCTGACTCATTTTCTTTCTGACCAATTCCTAATTATTACCCACTTCCTCAGGGAGTTTATGGGGACAGATACTGCAGTACCATGACTACTAAACAAAACCATGAAAATTGGATAACTTTCCAGAAAATGCAGATAGATTAAATTGATGAGCTGCTCTGGTACCTTCTTTCCTCACTTTCCCTGTCCAATTAGTCAAACTATTTGCACTGGTTTTAGCAGTAATTTTGTGTGACAAATAAGACTTAACAAATCGAGTTACTGCATATTCACACAGTAACAGGACAAAGAGGCTAAACTGGCTGAAATCCTGGGGCCCAGCAGGTCCAGCCTTGAATTCCCAGCATCTTGCACAAGAGAATAGAGTTTGGTGGTTGAGGGGAACAAAATAGACGGCGTGTGTGTGAGACATCTGTACAGCCCAGCTGGACACACACTGCAGGAGGTACAGCGTACGTGCACTAAGGATGTAAAATCAGCAAAGCCTCCTGCTACGCGTTCCTATACAGTCAAGGATGACACCGTCCTTTCACATTATGAGCGATGCCACCACTTCCCTCGCCCTCAGATAACGTTATGAGATGCTGGTCAAATTTTGGGGTCTGGATGGGAGGTTGCCCAGCTGAGGTTTGCGTCTTAAAGTCAAGGGTACAGCAAGGTGAGGCAGACCTTCAGCCATCACTTCCCTGCCTGGCTCCTTCCTGTCCCTCAGGGATGTTTCTGCCTCTCCGTGTGAAGGAAGCCTCGTGACAGCTCGCTGACATTTAACTTCAAAGTCTGACTTAACGCCAGCCCGAGGTGCAGTTTTGGTTTCCTTTCACTGATGGCTCTCAGCAGTACTAAAGGGGGGGGAGTTAGAGCAAAGGGAGGGGGGAACTGAGTAAAGGACACCAAGTCATGCCCACATCTTCTGGGTGGAAGAAGAAATAGTGGGAAAGAAAATGGGAATTTAGGAACAACAGGAATAATCTCACATCTAAGGAGATCCCCAGAATCTCAAATGAACATTTTATTCTCACTCTAAGGATGAAAAGGACTCCTGCGGTGACCTACCATCGCAAGCAAATAAGCACTCATCATCGCTGCTCTGGGTCGGCGACTACCGACTTCTTGATCACCACTACTCCTCCTGGACTGCAGTTTTAATCACCTTTACAGTATTTTTCCGATATACAAAAAGGACATGTAGATAATCTAATGCCCTACTAGATGTATCTCTCACCGTAATTTGGGAAGATTTAGTTTTAAAACCTCCTCAGCTTCCTTAACATAAATATTACAAAATAGTTATGGGGACGGGGAAGAGAGAGAAAAAAACGTCCTGTGGTATTGAAACCACAGGACCTTACTGCTTGGCATACAAGCCACAGAAACCAGACAATTGTTAGTCATGATCATTTCTTCTACGGCTTGAGACATCTCCCTCATGGAATAAGTGAACTAGCTCTTCAAAACTACCTCTGAGTGTAGCCACACGTAGCCATCTACTCGGCATCACACACGCAGCAACTCCAGTTTCTGTTTCAGACATTCCAAAATACTGAAAATCAAGCCAGGATGTCTAATTATCCTGATTTCGTGTCCAACACTTGCTAAAATTTCCAGGAAACTGATATTTGTAAGAGCTGTGCCAAAGCTATTCTGTACAAAGTATTTTCAGTTGCACTTTGGAAAGAACTGCGTGGAAGCAATTAAGAATAAAACCCATTCCAAATCTATAACCCAATAATACATCAAATACACGACAATTAATTGTATTCAAGTCAAAATTTGCTTCTGTGTCTCTGCTTAACAGTAATCTTAAATACTTAAAAAACATTTAGAGACAATTTTGTTTGTAAGAAACCATCTGGGTAGGTGCAAACATGGTTGGATACTAGAAGAGTCAATTCTAAACGTTTAAGAGGATATGCATGTGATTATGGCTACCTGATGCAAAGAAATTAATTAAAAATAATAAAAAAAAAAGAGAAATCAGAAAACCCCTTTCAAATACATGATGGAAAACAACTGGCTGCAATAAGAGACCATCTCACATCCCACTAGATGGAGCTACGGGCTAGAAAGCTGGTCAAATATTTCACTAATCCCAGTGGCTCAGGAAAACCATTTACAGAAGTCAAGTTCATTTGCCTCTTTCCTAATGCACAGGCAAAACCCGAGCCAGTGTCCCGAGGCGCTGATGCCTCACCGTAGTGTCTGTGCAAAGCCCAGGAGTAACGATGTGCTGCCCTAGCTGTCACTGCAAGGACAGCAGCAGCTCGCCCAAAGCAGCTAGCTGGAAACCAGGCAAAAAAAAAAAAAAAAGAAAAGAAAAGAATGGTTTTACATATTAAAAGACCACAACAACAAACAACAGGAACAAAGAGAATCAACCCGCTCTGTAAATTATGCAACCACTTGTTTTGAAATACAAAGGCAGATGGAAAATAACTTCTGCTTTAAACACAATTTCCTGGCTTTGGGGCTTTAGCTTAATTTTTGCTAGTTGGGTGAGGTGCAGCAGCAGGGAAAGTAGGTCATTTTTTAATCCATTTTTGCTGAGAGCTGTACGCCACCGCGCCATGCACTACACAGGGCACGGATGGCCTGCAAAACACAACTCCACTTCAAACGGGAGCCGAAACATCAATCAACAGCCGTTAAGATGAACTTGCAGTGCAAATACGCTACAAAGCAACCCTGCCAGATCGTTCTACTTTGCATCATTCACGGCAGAAAGTATCACAGACCTCCAGCGCTTGGCACCGTAGTATCTCAGCAGATTTTCAGACACGTGTGACTGACCGCAGCAGCGGAACAAGTAAAGCAGCAATGAGGTGTTTGGTCACGTCAAGTGTCCGCACACAGCGTGACTGTGCAAATTCACGGCGATCCAGGTGAGGAAGGGCAGGCATTGGCGCTCGGGGATACAGAAGCTCCCCAAATTGGGCTAAGCTGGCTCAAATTGGGCTAAGCTGGCTGCGATAGAACTGAAATACAGCTGGTGGGAGAAGGAGCACCGCCAGGGACCAGGGTGTAGAGGATTTCTTGCCGTAACTGCGTGGATTACATACAGCCCTTTCTTTAAAAACCATAACTTGCCAGCTAGGCGGTTGAAGAGTTTTACTAAGAAGCAGCTTCCAAAAGAACACGTTTAGGAAGGACAGTCCCCAAAACTTGTCTATAGGCCTTGGATTTATTCTCAGAGATACAGAGGAAAGGAAAGGCTGCTTGGCCTATTGTTACCCAATAATTACACTGTAATTAAATTTAGTTCTCCTTCACAGCAAGACAATCCCATTCACTACCCAAGCTTCAAGGCATC